CTCTCTCTCTCTCTCTCTCTCTCTCTCTCTCTCTCTCTCTCTCTCTCTCTCTCTCTCTCTCTCTCTCTCTCTCTCTCGCCCTATCTATGTATGTGAATTAACTCCCGCGTATCTATGTCTCTCTTCTGTCGAATCATTATCTCGACCGATCCTTTCGTAAATGATCTTCGCTATGTCGTATCTGAGCGGGTTGCAGAGTCTTCCCAAGCCAACCGCGGGATGAGTCTGCTAAAGAAAGTAGAGGGTGACGATCAGATGCATGCCTGTCTACCCTGCGTGTCTTGCACTAATTGGAGAAACGTGGGTAAACAATTCGGTGCTTCAGGGATTGCCACCAATGAATTCCAGGTTGCAGACGGAGTTCCTCGCACCCGTCCAGGCGCCATGACTACCGCGGTAAAGGTGGCATGCCGTCTCGCAGGAAAAGGGAGAGAGGGAGAGACACAGAGCGAGGCCGAGAGAGATAGGAGGAGGGGGACGAGAAGCTGGGAAAGTGAGAGAGGTGGAGAAAGACCCACTCATGAGCTACCAGCAGCTACCGGGACTTGTCCAGCCATGCTCCGTGGCATGTCGGCGACAAAAATAATAGCGCCACGCACATAGTTCTTCCACGACTCCGAGACTTGAGCCTCAAGCCCCTTCCAAAGACGGGTCTCGGGATCGAGCATCGTCATCGCCATTGCCACCATCCGGCCGAGAAACTACCAGACCTGTGCCGTTAAATTCACAGAAATATATCGCATTGCCGACGCATCTGCTGGAAAAGTCGCCTGGGAAAATCGCCCCTTTCCACCACCACACACACACCGCTTCTCTCTCTCACTGCATACCTCCCCGTTGCACTGTTCTCCTTTCTTTGTGAGCGAGAAACTAACTGTCCGCACTGTCGGGGAAGTAGATCACACGTGGCCATTTACTCGACACATGTCTCTCTCTCTCTCTCTCTCTCTCTCTCTCTCTCTCTCTCTCTCTCTCTCTCTCGCACACACACACACACACACACACACACACACACACACACACTAATATATACTATTTTAGCTTAGCCTGTGCGCTCCGACGCACCATATGGATACACGCTGTGGGCATTCCTCAACCGATCAGACGTCGCCACATTGGCGAGAGCACGTATGGCAAAACTTCACTCGTCTCGTGCACACTTGCCTAGATCAGCCTACGAAGGAGTCGGGACCGGGAATCCCAAGCTGTAAACGCGCCTAAGCGTCATCTCGTCGTGCTAAGAACAGTAACAAATAACCTCAGCATGATCTCTTATCCCATTGCTCGCTGGGTACCATTGATACATCTAGGTAGCTGCAGACTCGCACGACGACCTGGACGAAAATAGAAAATGGCACAAAAATAAAGGGGTCCCTCAGACACAGGGTGCGAGAGAAAAGAAATCCACAGTCCCGCAGCTACGAGCATACGGGGGAAAAAAAAAAAAAAAAAAAAAAAAAAAAAAAAAAAAAAAAAAAAAAAAAAAAAAAAACGTATGCTCTCTCAGAATACGGAAAGGGGGAGGAGCCGGGCCGCGCGAGAGAGAGAGAGAGAGAGAGAGAGGCAAAGGAACAGAAGACCGGAACGAGGGCGGAATGAGAAGCCGGACGTAAGGACGAATGAGTCCGATGCCTTCGAGGTGCCGGTGTGTGCTATGGCAGTAAAAGAAGGAGAGTGCGAAGGATATGTGCGTGCGTACGGGGTGGAATGGACGAATGCAAGAAAGAGAGAAGAGGAAGAGAAGAGAAGGAGAACGATTGCGACAGACCGACAGGCCGACAGACAGAGAGCAATACGGTCAGGAAAAAACAAAGCACGAAAGGAACAGAAAACCAAGACAAGGCAAGGGAGCACTCCTGTGCAGCAATAGGGCCTCCCGCCCCATCAGACAAGCACCCACACTAACTACCAACAGCTCCGAATGGCGCAGTCGAGATTGGGTTCAATGACAGGAGAGCGGGGAGTCGTGGCGCGAACACCCCGCGCTTGCCCCCTCCTCCCCTACCCGCGATCAGTAATTCCTGTACGTACGTAGGTGACTGCAGCCGAATGTGTGCGAACCTGTGGGAGAGCTGTCGATCGAGGTCCTCCCGCCGCGACGAAGTCCCAGCACAGGAGCCTGTAGCACACGGTTTCGGGCGACGTCGTGTTGGCAGTGAATTTGAAGCCCTTGGGTGTTGCAGTGCAGACAATCTGATCGTCGAAATTTTGAATGAGTGCAGAATTGACCCGACCGGTGCGGGACTCGCTTGAGATAGCAGGAGATGACGTGGCCGTCCCACAGCTCCCGCCTACACCCGCCCAAGACTAGCGCTTTCCTGGCCCGCCCCCGCCTTTCATCACAGCAGCTTGCCCGCCCCACTACGGCCTACTCCACGCCTTTTGACAAATGCGGGAGTTGAACTCCTAACTTGTAGAGCAGCACTTCCAAAGCATGTACCATTCGCGTCGCGCACAAATTGCGCAGGTGAAAAAGCGAAAAAGCAGCCACCCGCGCCTAAACTTCCTCTGGACTTGCCTTCGCTTTTTCCACCCGTCGATCCTCTCGATGCGATGGGCTCTGTTCTTTCGTTTTTCTTTTTGCTTTTCTTTTTTGTTGTTGTTGTTGATTTCTTGCTTTTCTTTTCTTTCGGGTTTGTCTTGGAATCCAGCATCCGATATCACATCACGTTCTCACGGGCGATCGCGGTAGTCTCTCAGGATCCTGTATACGATATCGTGTTCTCACAGGCGATTCCTGTCTAGGGCATACTCACACGGCGACCCCAAATCCGCAAGATTTGGGAAGGGCCGATTTGAGGTTTTGGGCATGGTTCCGGTCACACTGCTGTACCTTTTCAGATGGGACAAATGGGGATTTTTTTTTTTTTT